CCTGCTCATGTGCTCTCTCTCAAATAAATAAATCTTTTTTATAAATCACACATATTCCTAACGGATTTTTTAATTTTTGTGGGCTTTAAAATTTCTGATTTAATAATGCAGGGAGGCTTAGGGTTATGGATTTTCCTGTTGATGCAGTTTTGTCAAAACAGTTTTTTTTAAAATAGATTTTCGGGGCGCCTGGCCAGCTCAGTCGGTAGAGCATGTGACTCTTGATCTCCGGGTTGTGGGTTTGAGCCCCACGTGGGGTATAGAGATTACTTAAAAATAAAATCCTTTAAAAATTATTTAAAAAATAGATTTTTTTTAAGAGCAGTTTAGGCTCACAGCAAAACTGAGAAGGTACAGAGATTTCCCACACTCCCCCTGCCCCCTTACACACACAGCCCTGTGCAGACTGACATACCATTCTCTATTTCAGCTCAGGCTGCATAACAAGTACCACAGATTGAGTGGTCCAAACAACAGGAATTTATTGTCTCACATTCATCCTACAGATTCCAGAAGGCAGCCAGGACATAGAGCTCTTCCTTTTTTTTTCTATGATGCATATTACTTCGTTGTCTAGATATGTAATGGTTTATATAACGAATCCCCTGTGGTGGGTACCAGGCTGCTTACACTCCTTTGCTATTATAAACAGTGATGTGCTGCATAAACTTGCAGTGTGTCAGCTCATGCTTGCACAGGTGCACCTGAGGATCAGACTCCTAGAAGTGGGGGCGTCGGCTCAAAGGGCCAGCAGTGACACTCTCATAGAAATTCTGAAGAGTTGCTGGGTTGCTTATGTTCAGGGCCCCCTCCCCCTTTTTTTCCTCTCTTTTTCTATCCTGGTCATTTGTTTTCCCAAATACAGCATAAATGGAGTATCCTGCTTACCTGGGACCTGTCTGCCTGCTGTCCTCATGCCTGAGCTTGAGGTGGACGGTTTGTAGTCTGCCTGTTGTGCCTGTGGGAACGGCCAGGGTGTCCACCCCTTCAGCCTGCTGGCCTCCTCCGCTCTGCAGAAGGTGTAGAGACTGCCCTCCAGTGACCGTCCTGTGCAGAAATCTGTCTCAGTGTGACGGTGAGGCATTACAATGCATTTCCCTGACAACCATTTAGGTCGAGCACTTTGTCATGTGTTATCAGCGATTTGGGAAACTGAGAGTCTCTTCCTATTTTTCTTTTGGGAAGTCTTTTTCTTAGTGACTTATAGATAGCTTTGCTCATTCTGGGTTGCATTTGCTCTCTTACTGGGCCTTTTGCGGAACAGATTTCCTTAATTTTGACCTAGTTCAGTTTACCCAAGTTTTCTTTATGTTTAGCGGTTTGGAGTCGTGTTTAAGAAATCTCTGCCTAGGGCGTCTAGGTGGCTCGGTCAGCTGGGCGTCTGCCTTTGACTCAGGTCATGATCCCGGAATCCCAGGATCGAGGCCGCATTGGGCTCCCTGCTCAATGGGGAGCCTGCTTCTCCCTCTCCCTCTGCCGCTTCCTCTGCTTGTGCTCTCTGCCTGTCAAATAAATAAATAAAATCTTAAAAAAAAAAAAGAAAGCTTTGCCTAGTTCAAGGTCACGGGTAAAGGAAATAGGAAAAATATGTTTTCCTATTTCCTTTACCCTTCACATTCAGATCAATCATCTGAAGTTGGAATTTTGTATGTGGTGGGAGGCAGGAATCAGGACACGTGGTCTCGCATAGTGACGGCCAGCTGGCCCCCGAGCCATCCACCCCTTGGGAAGACCCTGCTTCCCTGTCCTGCCTGTCGGCTTTGTTGTAAATCAGGTGATCGTGTACCTGTGGTCTCTTCCTGGACTTGTGTTTCATCGGTCAGTTTGGCCACCCTTAAGTGTAGTGCTTCTTTTTTTTTTTTTAAGATTTTATTTATTTATTTGACAGAGAGATAGAGAGCAAGGGTAGGCAGAGGGGCAGGTGGAGGGAGAGGGAGAAGCAGGTTCCCCGCCAAGCAGGGAGCCCAATGCAGGACTCGATTCCAGGACCCTGGGATCATGACCTGAGCTGAAGGCAGATGCTTAACTGACTGAGCCACCCAGGCACCCCTTTTTAAAGATTTTATTTATTTGAGAGAGAGAGAGAAAGCACAGAGGGAGAGTGTGAGGGAGAAGCAGGCTCCCCGCTGAGCAGAGAGCCCAATGTGGGACTTGATCCCAGGACCCTGGCATCATGACCTGAGCTGAAGGCAGCCGCTTAACCGACTGAGGCACCCAGCCTCCCCAAGTGTACTGCTGCTGATTCATGCTTTCTACCTGATACTATCCTGTTTTCTTCGTACGTCTTATTTCCCTTACTAGGCTTGTTTGAAGCCACTGAATTCCAAGAAGACAAGCTCTATGACTGACTGGTCTTTAAAAAAATTTTTTTTTATGAAGTAATCTCCATACCCAACATGGGGCTTGAACTCACGACCCCGAGACCAAGAGTTGCACGCTCCACCGATGAACCCAGCCAGGCGCCCCTATTACGGACGGATCTTTTGATGATGGCATTGTGGCTGGACACAGTGCCTTTTTTTTTTAAAGATTTTATTTATTTATTTGAGAGAGAGAATGAGATAGAGAGAGAGCATGAGAGGGGGGAGGGTCCGAGGGAGAAGCAGACTCCCTGCTGAGCAGGGAGTCCGATGCAGGACTCAATCCCGGGACTCCAGGATCATGACCCGAGCCGAAGGCAGTCGCTTAACCAACTGAGCCACTCAGGTGCCCTGGACACAGTGCCTTCAACACATAGTTGCTGGTTGTCGTACATCACAAACATTGAAATAAACTTTCTTTTAAGAGAAACAGCCTACCTGTGTTATCACAAATTCTAAAAGATGCTCAGTATGAAAACCTCCATCTCCTCTGTTTTCCTGTCCCATTCCACTGAACCATAAGTGTGGTTGGAGAAAACCATTGTGTTCTCATGGTCTGGGCGCTTTTTCTTTTAATCTGTGGTGGGCCAGTAAGGAGCCAAAATACCTCCTCATCTGCATGGCGTGGGTTAAAGCTGGAAGATTCTAACACCGGCTTCTGAAGAACTCACTGTTGGGTGTTTTGGCACATGGGTATTGTTTCTCCCCCTGTATTAAATGTTATGCCCACACCCCTTGCCATGTGAGTCAGCAGTGCCCCCCATTAGAGCACGCAGAGTTTTCTTCCCTGTTGTATTCATATTGGAATGGTTAGCAAGCGTGTGTGGGAAGATGCTTGAAATGCGTTTGTGTGGTTTGGCTTGGCCACTTGCTGTGAGAACAGCATGTTCCTGCTGGGAGGAGACATGCAGAACAGGCCTGTATGCGTCCAAGCCAGCTGCGCTAACAAAATACCACGGACTGGGTGCCGGGAACAACAGAAATTTATTTCTGGAGGCTGGAAGTCCAAGATCCAGGTGCCGGCAAGGTTGGTTTTTCCTGCCATTTCAATCCTCCCCTGGGTTTGCAGGTGGCTGCCCCTGGCTCGTCCTCACCTGGTCTTTCCTCTGTGCCCGGCACCCCTGCTGCCTCTGGGCACCCACATCTCTAACAGTAAGGGCACAGTCAGGCCACCCTCACGGGCTCATTTTGCCTTCACTGCCTCTGGAAAGGTCCTGCCTGTAAAAGCAGTCCCAGGCTGAGGTCCTGGGCATTAGGACTTCACCACAGCAGTTGGGGAGGAGGGGCACAATTCAGCCCATAACTAGACCTAAAGACCAGTCCAGCCAATCCCAGGAGGCAGCAGAGCTGTGAGCAGGAAATAAACGTCCGTGGTTGGGGTGGTTTGTCGGGTAAGGAGCCTACAGCAAAGGCTGACTAATATAAACGTGTCTTGTATTCACTCTTCTTTTTTTTATGGAGGTGAAATTCACATCACACAATGAGGCACTTTAAAGTGTACCTTCAGGGGCGCCTGGGTGGCTCCGTCCATCCGTTAAGATCCCACTCTTGGTTTTCGCTCAGGTCACGGGCCCAGAGGCTTTGGATCGAGCCCCGTGGGTAGTCGGCTTCTCCCTCCACCCCGCCCCCCCCCCGCTCTCTCCCGCTCTCTCTCAAAGTAATAAATCTTAAAAAAAATAATGACATGTACCTTCAGTGTGCTCACAACACTGTTCCTTTAGTTCCTAATGGGCAATGTCAGAGAGGCTTTCGCCAGAGGAAAATGCATCCATCCATTCTTTCACTGACGGGAAAACGTCTTTGTGGAAGTGCAAATCTTATGGTGGTGGGAGCTAAAAGCCGAAGCCTGTGATACCGGGAAGCGTGTCCTTCCTCACAGGCGCGACCCGACACTTGCTGCGGGCCCCGTAAATGCCTTGATTTATGGGGCCCACATTTACAGAGTGGTCAGCACCTGCTGGTCCTGCTCTTGAGTCCAGGGTCTTGGTGGTGAAACAAAAACAAAAAACAGGCAAAAAAAAAAAAAAACCTGCTTTCATGGGGCATGCATTCTAGAGGAAATCAGATTCAATGAGTAAGTAATCAATAGCATGTTCAGTGGTTTAAAAGGGCTAAGAAAGAAAATGAACAGGGAAGATTGCAAGAAAGGCCTCACTGCAACAGGTGTTTTCCGTGGGGATGATGCTCCAGGGAGGTGAGCACGGCTGTGAGCAGAAGCCAGTTCTGTCCCCTGCGGGTCACAACCAGGCCTGTCCCAGCAGAGGTGGGAGCCAGGAGGAGCCGGGGAGGGCTTCTTTGCACGTGCTCACCCTCCTGAGGCTGGGCCCCTGCTCCCAGCACCAGCCCTGCCGCCGCTGCAGACCCGGCAGGTGCACCAGGCAGTTGGAAGCTGTAGACAGAGATGCAGAAGTCATCCGCGTGTCCATGCATTTCAACCCAGCGAGGTCACCTGCAGGGGAGGGTCAGCGCTGCTGTGGCACAGGGGTGTGTAGAGGTGGGCAGGTGAGGCGGAGTCAGCCACAAGGAAGGAAGAGTGCTCTGAAAGCTCCCGGAGGGCCCAGGAGCAGTTTTGTGCGACACGTGACATTCGCCCCATTTGCTTCCCAGCCAGGGCTGGTAACGCCTTCCTCAGCGGGAAACATGACGATAGGTAGGAATCTGAAACTTCTTCTGTGGAAGAATTTCATCTTGAAGGTGGGGGGGGGGGGGGGGGGGGGGGGGGGGGGCAGTGGCGTCTTGTGGGGAGGGACTGGATGTTGAAGTTAGGTTGGGTTCTAGTAACAGATTAAAGAAAAAATCAACTTTACTTGGAATGGGGCCCCTCTCTGCAAATACGGCCAGTTCCCATTGGAACTCTGCAGACTGTCATCACTGAAGCCCGCACCGTTGTTACTGGTTTCTCGCCGCTTATGCGTGGAAAAGTCGGACGGGGTGGCATCTAGCTCATTCTCTATTGTGCAGGGAGGCTGCGGGAGGGAGAGGGCTTTTCACAAGGAAGCCTTGCCACCTGGCGACTCAACACGTGTGATCTGCTTTGGATTACCACCCGCTTTCCTTTCCATTGCAGAAGCGGAAGACCCTGGTCACCGTGCTGGAGATCCTGGCGCCACTGCTGTTCTCCACGATCGTCATGTATCTTCGCCTGAACAGTCTGCCCCAAAAAAGGCCTCCTTTGAATTACCTTGTGATCAGCATCAGTTTGCTGCCAGACTTCTTCTATTTCCCCATGCAGACTAGATACCAGCTAGTGTACATCCCTTCCAAGAGCAGAACATTAAAGGCTATCATGGAAATGGTGGAGAAATCCTTTGACGTTGAGTTTGAAGGTGGGACACAGAGATGGGGTACGGGTATGGAGGGAGGGCATTTCTCCAAAGTTGGAGGCCTTTGCCAGAGAGTGCTTATGGTTGTGATTCCAAATGTGGGGTCTCCAAATCCTAAAAAGTCTGCAGAGGTGGTCGCTGGGGGAGAGCAGCCCATTCTGATCCTGCAGCCACACCCCCCGGAGACGAGAGATTCTGAATTAGCGCTCTGACTGGTCTCGCTTTTCTTCTTGACCCCTTCTAGTCCAGTCTCTGTGTGGATCCAGGAAGATCTCTCAAAGGTCAGTGGGGTCTGGCCAGCTAGTGCCTCAGCCCCTCCTGGGCTTCCACTGCATGGGGAGCCAGGCAGGCCCTTCTCTGGGCTCCCCTGCACCCCACGAGCCAGGCAGGCCCCTCTCTGGGCTCCCCTGCACCCCACACGCCTCCCGAGGGCTGTGCCTTCCTAGCCCTGCAATGGTGCTGAGCAGAGCAGGCAGCTTGGGTTTAGGTCTCTCACCTGTGCCTCTGTATCTCTTGGAGCCCTGCTGGCTCCGCTCACAGCATTTTGATTCACGTTTCATCACATGGCCACTAACGGCTCTCTGTGCCGCACCTGCTGGGCACAGAGGGCAGAGGCCCGTGTCTGTCTGTTCTGGGCCTACTCTGTGCCTGGCACACACTCGCTGTTCAATACGTATTTATTGGATGGAGTAATGCACTTAGGGAGATACAGCTTTTCAAGATATGGAGTCCACAAAATGTGGAGTGATTTTCCAAAGTTATACTATGTGTTTTTGTAAAAGTATTCCAGTAACACAGAAGGTACAAAGTGGAAAGAAAGGGCAGTCCTCTCCTAGCTCGGAGCGCTACTCAGTGCAGACAATTCTTTCAAAGGCCCTCTGTGGCCACGTGTGTGAGGACCGCTGTTTTGCGCTTCATGCTTGCCTAGCGCCCTGAAATACCATTCCAATTCAGTTGTATCTTTCACAAATGTGAGGTTATGAAACAAACAACGGAGAAATCTTCTCTGGGGAGGTGATATGGTAGTGAAGCCGTGAGGGTGAGGGACAAGCCATGCGGGGTGGGAGGGTGACCTCAGGACTCGAGGCGGCCAGCAGGGGGGTCGCCGAAGGGTCGGGGAGCTGGCAGCCGTGGGCGAGGAGGAAGGAAGTGGGGAGAGTGGTCCCAGTGAGGTCGGAGTGTCTGCGGGAGCCTCGAAGGCCTTGTCCAAGTCCTGGATTTCCTTCTCCTGCCCAAGCCCGCCCGCCGTGGGAGGGTTTTTAAGAAGAGAAGTTACATGATTTGTTTTAGAAGAGCCGTCTCTGGCTGTTCTCTGGAAGAGAGACTGGAGCCCCTGGTATTCGCAGACATTTAGGAGAAAGTGGATGGGCAGAGGGGAGACATGCAGGCAGACGGAGCTGCGTGGATGAATTCGAGATCAGTCTGCAGTGGGAGGAGCGCCTGGGTGGCTCAGTCGTTAAGCGTCTGCCTTCAGCTCAGGTCACGATCCCAGGATCCTGGGATCGAGCCCCGTGTCGGGCTCCCTGCTCGCTGGGGAGTCTGCTTTTCCCTCTGCTTGCTGCTCCCTCTGCTTGTGCTTTCTCTCTCTCTAAAATAAAATATATTTTTTTAAAAAGCTGCAGCAGGACATTGCGGGTCAGAAGCCCTCCTGCCTGCTTTGGGCCTTTCTTGGTAGGTGGCCCTCCTACTCCCAAAACATTTGCTTTGCATCTGGGCTGAGTTTCCACCCCATTTCCAGGGACCCCTCAGTGGCCTCCGCAGAGAAGAAAACATTTCTATTCTGTCTTCCCTTAAGATCCCACCTCAGGCAGTTTATCTTTTCTTGGGATCGAGGTCTTGAACGTTTATTTCTTTTTTTTTTAAAGATTTTATTTATTTATTTGACAGAAAGACACAGCGAGAGAGGGAACACAAGCGGGGGGAGAGGGAGAGGGAGAAGCAGACTCCCCGCTGAGAAGGGGCCTGATGCGGGGCTCGATCCCAGGACCCTGGGATCATGACGTGAGCCGAAGGCAGACGCTTAACGACCTAGCCACTCAAGCGCCCCTTGAACGTTTATTTCCGCCTTATTGCTTCCGACTCACGTCTTGTCTCGTCACAGTGTGTGTTCTGCCCTCGGTCCCATGATGACTCCTGCTAAGAGGAGTGTGGCGCTGACTGTGGGTTCCGGTGCTTTCCTTCCTCGCGTGGCTTGCGGCCACCCGCCATGTGCTCGCATGTTTGCAAAACGGCCGAGGGAGTGAGTGAGGCTTGTGGCCCCTCAGCCAAGAAGCGGGCGCCCCTGCACCTGCTCAGGGAGGACAGCGATGGGCGGGCAGCGGAGGCCTTCCCGCCAGCCCCTTGCCGACTGGATTTTCTCTCTGCAGTTCTAGGCTATTCTTCGGTGCTTGTCTTTGAAAGTTACATAATCCAGGACCCCAAAGCCTTCTACATGTGGGCCGGAATTGTCTTGGATCACTACTTCAATGACAGCAAGCAGCCCCTGCCGCTGGAGGTAAGGACGGCCCTTCTGGAACAGCCTGATGGCGCTGCCCAGCCCCAGGGGCGAGTCCGCGAGGGAGTCTTTTCACCTGAGCTGCCCCTCTGTTGTCCTGTGTTACTGCCCTGTCTTACTTCCGGAGGAGGTAAGCAAACGCTCCAGGCTTCACCTCTTACAACCTGGCCCCGGGGGCCCCTTCCTGTTCTCCAATTCCTTACAAGGGAAGCCTTGCGCAGGGGAGCCTCCTGCCGAGGGAGGAGGGCTACGCGAGCAAGCTGCTTGATTACGGACTGGGTGCCCGCTCCGCAGCCACTGGCTGTCTAGCCGTGGGAAGGGCGCTAGCCTTTCTGGGCCTCAGTTTCTTGACCAGTGTAATGGGACTAATAGTAGTTCCTAACTTGGAGCATTAAATGAGTCTGTGCCCAGGAGAGAGCCGGGAAGAGAGGCGTTTTCCAGAAGGACTGGTCCTAGTTGCCACCATGACTAGCATGGACTCAAACGTGGTAGGGCTTTCTGGCAGTGGTTCCTGTCTGGGGGTGGGAAAGCTTTGGTGTGGTGCTGTACCATCGCGTAAAGATTAATTGTCAGAACTTGCTTGGGGCGTTAGAAGCCGGAGGCAGACTTGTTTATAAACAACCAGCAACACTTGGCAAGCACGTAGGAATGCCAGGCACACCCAGGGGTCATCCGACTGGATCCTGCAGTATGTCTGGGATGGGCGCTGTTAACAGCCTCCCCACTGTACTGACGAGGAAACCAAGACAAGAAGGTCAAGTGACTTGCCCAAACGCTGCCTTCCTCGAGGGGGCTCTCCCAGGATGGTGGTGGCAGACCAGCGTGTGCTCCCCAGAGGGGACAGCCATCCCTGCCGTCCCAGCTGGCCTCGGGCGCGGGTCTGCTCTGTCCTGGGTCCTCTCTGAGCATTAGGATCTTATGACCGAGGTTGTCCTCCCTTTATCCTCCACAGATCAAATACCACCTGCGCTTGAGCTGCATTCAGAGGAACTCCTTAACCTTGAAGGTGACGACATACCGTGATAAGCTGGAAGACTGGGCACATCCTTCCTTTATCCTCCAAACCCGAGCCAAGTGCCCCTGGCCTTTGGACATTTCGACGGGGGACTCCCTGGTGAGGAAGCCCGTGTGCGTGGCCCTGTGTGCGCCCACCTGGTCCCGAACTTTTCAGAAGGGGTTGAGGGAGTTACATTTAGAAATGTGTCACTGGGTAAAATGCTTTCCTTCTAGAGGAAGTTAAAGCAGCAATTAAGCGTTTGATTTGTACTGATACTGAACTGCTTGAAGGAAGGATGGAAGTATTTTACAGGAACCAGGAGGGTATGTTCCTTTTCATGCGCCTGTGTGTACTAACGTTTGCTTTAGCTTCCCGCAGGCTGGGGGAGCAGCCGCGGGACAGCAGGGGCACCCGTTCTCCTCTCCTGAAGGACGCACGCTCCCTACATCCCTATAGAGTTTGGGGCTCCTTCTTTGTCGGGGGTTCAGGGAGGCCTCCCTGCAGGGAACGAGCTGCTCGTAGGAAACTGAGCTGCCAAGCTGCACCTCACTGTGGGATGAGTGCACAGCGGACGTGGAGCCTTGGGCCTGCAAGTCCAGCGAGGGGGAATGTAAACCGAGGGCTCATAGATTCGTGTGATTTTAGAAAGGGTACCAGCCGCTCTGCAGAGGAAACTCTCTTACCCGCAGTCAACACCACATGACAGTTCCCGGGATTTTAGTGTCAACGTGTTCCTCTCGTGTTCATCCTCACGGATCTGGGGGTCCGTGTAGGGGTGGGCCATTGGGAGACCTTGGTCACCTCCACTTCACTGCTGCGTGCCCCACCCTGGCTCTGCCCACAAGGAGGGCCAGGAACCCTCTGTTGCGCTTGAAGGTGGGGCCATTATCTCTCTCTCTCTTTTTAAGATTTTTAAAATTTATTTGTTTGACCGAGAGAGACACAGCGAGAGAGGGAACACCAGCAGGGGGAGCAGGAGAGGGAGAAGCAGGCTCCCTGCGGAGCAGGGAGACCGATGCGGGGGCTCCATCCCAGGACCCTGGGACCATGACCTGAGCCGAAGGCAGACGCTTAACGACTGAGCCACCCAGGTGCTCCTGGGGCCATTATCTCTTAAAAGATCCCGGGGCCTGGCGTCTTTGCCCTTCAACCTATTTTTCCCAAAAGCTGACCTCAGCCCACCGGCTACGCTGTATCAAAACAAGGGCTGCTTACGGTCAAGATGGTTTTTGAGGTTTGGCAGCAAAATCTGATGCCCATAACCCTTGGGTCACAGCGGTGACAGTTCAGAGACAGTCACAGTCAGGGAGGGGGGCTGTGGTCTCCCAAGTGCTTTGAATTTAACCATCTCATATGTCCTGGATAATTAGAAGTGCAGAGCGGGCACCCTTTTCCTGGAGCCTGAGTGCTTAGTGGAGGAGATGTGGCCCCACCACGCAAGAGTGTTGTATGGGACATCCCTTGTTTTGTGCGTTCAGGACACATTTGCCCTGTTCTCTGATAAAAGACGCCATCACAGCCACGGGGGGCCCGTGGCGACTCTGCTCCTTATTCCACATGGCAACAGGTGGACTCGAGAGAGCCCGTCCTACTACTGTTGGTGTGTCTTCACGAATCGCGAGCAACAAGCATCTGATTCATCAGGTGTCCTGCTGTGTCAGTCTTTCTGGGTCTCTCACACCTGGTGTCCGCTGTGTTCTCATGCAGGATACAGCAAGGCAGGCTTCCTGACCTTACAGCATGCTCTGGACAAGGCCATCGTGCAGCACCGCGCCCACAATGTGATGACCCAACTGTTCGAGGACCTCGCTGTGCTCGTGAAGAGGTTCCCGCATGGAGCCCACATCCAGGACACGTTCTTGCTGATCCTTCAGAACGAGTTCCCTCTTCTGTTCATGCTCAGCTTCATCTGCATCCAGCTCATCATCATCAATTCTGTTGTCCTGGAGAAAGAGAAAAAGCTGAAGGTAGCCCCACTGGCATGGGATGCATGCCTCTCCCGGGACCCGGGATGTGCGGGAGCACTAATGAAAAATGACCAGAGTGGGAGTGAGGCTAAGGCAGGGGAGAGGTGCGTAGTTGTCAGAGGGACATCCAAGGTGAGTTGGAAGGTGGATGTTCTTCCATCATTTGACCTGCTTGCCACTCAGGCAACCCCATCTGTTGTGATGACATGAGTCCTTGCTTTGGGGCTCGCCCATGGTGGCTGTTCAGGAGATGCTTGTGGAATGACTCCCTGAGAAATGCACAAGGAGGGGAATGACCCCCAGGAGTAGCTCGCTGTCTTGCTGCTGCAGCCGGGAGCACTGTCCAGGGAGCCCCAGCAGAACATAAGGCTGATCCCACGAGTTTCTCTGCCTTCTGTGCTCCGGGGCCCTGCCCGCTCTCTCCCGTGACTTCTCTCTTCACCTTTTGCTAATTTCTTCCCCTTTGATTGATTCTTATGACTGTGTCTAGAAAATAGCCTGCCGGTGGCTCCCTCGACCTTGCTTGGCCTCACCCACCGTGTCCGGTTTGCTCCGTGGTCTCGCGCGCACAACGTGCTCTGCCGGAGGCAGTCTGCGAGGCTGCCATGGGCGTCTGCACCCAACGTGGTAAGACAGCCGGCTCTTCTGCTTTCCCTAGGAGTATATGTGCATGATGGGAGTGAACAACTGGCAACACTGGGCTGCCTGGTTCACCATGTTTTTCATCTCCACCCTCATGGTCGTCTCTTTCATGACTGTCCTCTTCACGCAGGTACGTGTCTCGGGCCCTCAGGATGTGCTTGGCTGTGCAGAGGGGTGGGTGGCGGTGCTGAGATTCGGCAGCTGGGGAGAGCACAGCTAGTGATGAGCACCTGGGAACCCTCAGGTGGATGCGGGGTGGTGCTTACTGAAACTCTGTGGGGATCCGGCGCGGAACGCGCACCATCCGGGAGATTGCCCTCCCGCCGTTCCCAGCTCTGCGAGGACTGGACGCAGGCGTAGTTAACTTCATTAGGGAAGTGGAATTCCAAGAGATGTATTTCATAAACTTTAAAACATTGCAAATTTTACACTCTACAGATAGTTGAAAACAGTTTTTGTAAGAGATGAGGACATTCTCTCAGGCCCGTGCTACCTTGTTAAATTTTCCTTCTAGCTGCTGTTGAAATTCGGTGTTCCGATTTGCTAACTTTCATTTAATGACTAAATTATAATCCACCATGTGGATGTATGAAAATTTGCCTTCTAAATTACCAAAGTTGGGGCACTTTGGATAAGGGAAGGGAAGAAAACCCAGACCACACAGCAGAACACATAAAACAAAGAAAATGGCCAGAAAGCATTAAAAAGAGGAGATGTCAGCTTCCCAAAGGAATACCATAGTCTTCTGTAATAGTGACGATGACAAATGGGATAAACTCTCTCATTAAAGCCAAAAAGATTCACACTGGGTCAAAAACTGAATTCGGACTTACACTTTCTTTAAAAAAGGTACACAGACTGAGCATCATTTGTAAATGGTCGTGGACACTGGATCAACGTCTGCCTTAAAAAAAATCTGTCTCTGTTGTTTAATTAGGATCATCTTGTAAAGTTTTTTTTTTTTTAATTTCTGCATTGTTAACGGGTAGAGAATGCCTTCTCTTCATTCTCTCCATGTAAAAACGACGTGTGTCTATGACTGCAACACAGGTGCACGGTGTGACGGTGTTCAGGAACAGCGACCCTAGCTTGATATTCATTTTTCTACTGTGTTTTGCCACTGCCACAATTTTCTTTGCATTCATGATCAGCACATTCTTCCAGAGAGGTGAGTCCTGATACAATTTTCGGTCAGGGAGGGCGTTATTGCTTCTGTTTCTGGTAGCACTGCTACTCAAGTTACCTACAGCATGAATTATTATTCCTCCAAAGCCAAATTTTCACCTCTATGGTTACTTTAGCAGTAGACTCATTCCATTCCCTGTCCAAGGCTTAGGGAACCATCTCATGTACGTCTTTTTCTGCTTTGTTTGGCTGCTAAATGTCACTTCAAACAGATGCAAATGGTTAAGTCCCAACTTGGAAGGAAATGAGGGATAAAGCATCAGTGCAGATAGTTTTCCAGGTCTTGATTGTGAACTTGGGCACAATGATAGGATGGCTTCTGAGACACCATAGTAAGACCGGAATTCCTGGGACTTTGGTCCTATCAGGAGGGGTGTTCCCTCTAAAATTATTGGTAGAATCAATGAACTACTAGGGACAAAAATAACAGGAAATGGGGTCAAAGTCAGAGCGTGGGAGAATGGACTGCTGATTCAAATAGAGAGGCAGAGGTAAAAACATTCATGGAGGGCGGGTCTAGTAGTTGGTGACAAACAGAGGGCTTACAAGAACTTGGGGAAAAATCAAAATGTGCTATAAATGAAGCCAGGCAGTTTACTCTATACATTTGTGAATATTTTACATTAAGTATCATGTTCTAATGTTCTAATATGTGGGCTTTGGCAAATACCGACTCTACCAGTGTGGGAGTGGGTTCTTTGGGAGGTTGACTGGGCCTGGACACCATCTCCTGATTTGAACTCTATACCGAGTTCTCCATTATCCTCAATACAAGCATGGTGGCGGGGGGGGGGGGCTGTCAAGTAAGAGAATTATGTGGGGACCTGGGAGCATGACTATCAGAGGATGCTTGAAAGCTAAGGCTAATGTAGTGCTAAAGGTTGAAGCCAAAAAAAATTGACTTTGCAGTCAAGCATAAGAAATAAGCAGAGGGCTGGAAAGAAAAAACAAAACCAACGAGGTCAGAAGCACAATAAAGCAAGACCAGAGTGGAAAGCAGATAGCAGGCAAGAGTCCCAAGTGAAAGCAAAAATATACCACATAACATCAGAGTTTATGATCACTTGATTTTTGATGAAGGGGCCAAGAGAATTCAACAGGTAAGGAATAATTTTTTCAACAAAGAATGCTGGAATAGCTGGATATCTATGTACACAAGAATGAAGTTGGACCTCTATATCACATCATACATAAAAATTAACTCAAAGTGGATTATAAACCCAAAGGTAAGCGCTAAAACTACAACACCTTTAAAAGAAAATCCAGGCATAAATCTTTGTGATCTTGGGTTAGATGGTGTTTTCTTAGACATGACACCAAAAGCATAAGTCATAAAAAAGAGGATTGATGAATTGGACTAAATCAATATTAAAAACTTATGTGCTTCAAATGATACCATCAAGAGAGTGAGAAGACAATCCACAGACTTGGAGAAAACATCTGCAAGTAATGTATATCATGAGAGACTTATAAATAAAAGAAAACTTACAACTAAAAAATAAAAACACAAATATTCCAAACTCATTCTATAGGCCAGCATTACCTTGATACCCAAATTGGAAAAGACATGAGACCAATAAAACTACAGATCAGTATTCCTTATGAATAGAGGTGTAAAAATCTTCAACAAAATACTAGCAAACTAAGTCCAACAGCATATTTAAAGGATTACACACCATGCCAAGTGGGATTTATACCAAGAATACAAGAATAATTCAGCATATGAAAAACAGTAAATATAATACACCACTTGAATTGAATGAAGGAAAAAATAAACACAATTTTATTCACTTTTATTTGTCTCAATTGATATTGAAAAAGCATGTGACAAAATCCAGTACTTTTCATGATAAAAACATTTAACAAACTAGAATATAAAGGAATTATCTTGACCAAGAGTGAGCATTTACAAAAACCCCACAGCTAACTTCATATTCAATGGTGAACAATTGAAAGTGTTCCCCCTAAGACCAGGAAAAAGATAAGGATGACCACTTTCCCCTCTGTTACTCAACATTGTACTGTAAGTTCTAGGCAGAGCAATTAAGAATGAAAAAGGACTAAAACGCATGCAACTGGACAGGAAGAAGCAAACTCTCTCTATTCAAACATGACATGATCTTATATAGAGAAAATCCTAAAGAATCCACAATGGGAACTTTTAGAGCAATTAAATGAATTCAGCAAGTTTTCAGGCTAGAGATCAACACCCAAAAATCAGTTGTGTTTCTATACACTAGCAGTGAACATTCCAAAAAAGAAATACAGAAAACAATTCCACTTAAAATACCCCCCAAAATAAAATACCCAAGAATAAATCCTCCCAGGGGTGCCTGGGTGGCTCAGTTGGTTAAGCGACAGCCTTCAGCTCAGGTCATGATCCCAGAATCCTGGGATCGAGCCCTGCATCGGGCTCCCTGCTCAGCAGGAAGCCTGCTTCTCCCTCTCCCTCTCCCCCTGCTTGTGTTCCCTCTCTGTCTCTCTCTCTCTCTGCCAATTAAATAAATAAATAAAATCTTTAAAAAAAAAAAAAGAATAAATCCTCCCAAAGAGATAAAAGACTTGTTGAAAGAAATCAAAGACAACTTAATGCAATGGAAAGACATCCCATGTTCATGGATTGGAAGACTTAATATTGTTAAGATGTTCATATTCCCCCAGATTGATCTAGAGATTCAATTGAAATTCTATTAAAATCCCAGATGCCTTTTTCTCAGAAATGGACACGCTAACCCTAAAATCCATATAGATTTGCAAGGGGCTGCAAAAAGCCAAAACAATTTTGAAAAAGAACAAAGTTGAAGCCTCACACTTCCTGGTTTCAAACTTACTACAAAGACAAAGCAACAGGGATCAAAATAGTGTGGTACTGGCATGAGGATGGATATACAGACTGATGGAATAGAATTGAGAGTCTAGAAATAAGTCCAAATAGCCAATTGATTTTTGACAAGGGTGCCAAGACCATTTAATGAGGAAAGAATAGTTTCTTTAAGGAATGGTGTTGGGACAGCTGGATAGCCACTTGGGACTCCTACTTCACTTCATTCCTTAGCTGAATAATATCCCATCATATGGATAGACCACATTTGGTTATCCATTCATCTGCTGATGGACACCAGGTTGTTTCCACCTTTTGGCTACTGTGAATCATGCATCTGTGACCATTCGTGTACAAGTGCCCGTCTGAGTCTGCTTTCAATTCCTTCGGGCATATACCTAGGAGTATAAATGTTGGGTCATATGGTGATTCTATTTAACTTTTTGAGGAACCAAAGAACTGTTTTCTACAAGAAGCTACAACATTTTTACATTTCCAGAGTGTAGTACATGAGGGTTCCAATTTTTTTTTTTTGAGAAATGTCTGTTCAAGTCTTTTGCCCATTTTTCACTTGCATCGTTTGTTTTGTTGATGCTGAGTTGTAGGAGTTATTTATGTATTTTGGATATTAATCCCTCATCAGATAGGATTTGCAAACATTCTCGCCCCTTCTGTGGGTTGTCTTTTGATGCAAAGAATTTTTTTTTAAAGATTCCATTTATTTATTTATTTGACAGAGAGAGACACAGCGAGAGAGGGAACACAAGCAGGGGGAGTGGGAGAGGGAGAAGCAGGCCTCCTGATTAAATGGGGTATTACAAGTAAAGTGCTGAGAACAGTACTTGGTATATAGCAAGAACTTAGTAAACGTTAGCAGTTCTCAACGCCTGTTACAGGGGAAGAACCTGACACTCAGAGAAGTCATACCAGGTTCAAGCCAGGTTTGGGGCAGGGCCGCCGGACGCCTCAACGGGGCTCTTTCTATCATGGATGCAATCCTCACGGCCCCAGCCCTACTCTCTCGACTTCCTGGAAGTCGAACGTCAGCATTCCACCTGAGCTCATCTCCCAATCCGGAGCCACCAGGCTCACAGCCTGGAAAACCCGAGTCCCTGACCGTAATTTACTCTCTCCATGACGCGGGGCAAACGTCTTTACTGTGGCTGGGCCTCAGGTTCCTCTGGAAACAGGGAGGGCAGGAAGGCTCAGTAAGCAGCTGTGGGTGACGTGCTGGCTTCGGGGCTGCAGCACGTGCCACATCGGTGAAGGAGAGGGTTCGGACCGCAGGAGGCACTGTCTGTGCCCTTACAGATGCCCTCAGTCTTTCCATAGTCCAAGTGCAAAATTCTGAAAAAGGCTGCCTCCCTTCTGAGATGCTGACGCACCTGCAGACACCGCCAGCCCACTTCCGTGGCAGGAAGGGGCTTGTGTCACCTCGTGCGTGGCTGATGGCCCTGTCGTGTCTTCCCACAGTCCAGGTAGCACCTGCCGCCGGAGGCATCCTCTGCTCCTTCACCTACCTCCCATCCCTCTATCTCATGTTCAGCTACCCCCAGAGGACCCACTTCCAAAAGATGGCCTTCTGTCTGCTCTTGAACGTCGCCATGGCCTTGGGAGTCCGATTAATCTCTGCATTTGAGATAAAAGGTGAGCCATCCCTCTCCCCAGGGAAGCGGCCTTGAAGTTCGGCCACCGTGGCAGACGGGCCAGGCTGACCTGTGTTTCCGGGCGGCCCTCGCTGGTGGCTTCCTTCAGCCTTGGGAGCGTTTGCAATACCCTGGCAACTGCGGGGGGTCGTAGGTTGGGGTCCACACCACACAGCTCATGGTGTGGTTTGGGAGCAAAACTAAAGCATATTAGTGACTTAGGAAATTATACGCCGATGTAGTTGCTTAGATAGAAAAGACACGGATTCACAGTTGGATTCAGTGAACGCACTTAGAACTTACAGATAACAGAGAGCCATTCACATTCGCCGTGTGCCACGCGCACGGACTTGGGGTCGGCCTGAGGGCCTGCCCAGTGGTGCTGGTCTGCTTTCCTCACAAGTACTCCCCCACATGCTCATTTGTCTTACGTTCCTGAGGTGGAAGGATTGCTCCGAATGCCGACGGTCACCGCAGAAGATGGCGGCTAACACATCCAAACCGAGGGCCCGCTGGGCTCCGTAGGCTTCCTGGGGGAAACCATCCCCCATCTCAGCGGCACTAAGACTAAGATGGCCGCCTGTGGACACTGTAGCAAGCGTCTCTGCAGCATCCTTGCAGCTCTGGCACTAGATGCTACGGCTTGGTTTAGCAGCAGAAAGCAGGAACAGGGGTTCTAAGTTGGATCTAGTTTGTGCGTCCTCTTACTGCAACTGGGATAATGTCCAATGATCTGGTCAGAGGCATCTATCTACCAATTAACTTTTGTTAAATTGGGATGGTCTCAATGGGTTAAGGGTGCTTAAGATATAATAAAGGGTGTGAAGCTGACCAGAATTTATTGCAGGTGAGGGGTTTTCCTTAACAAAGCATTGATGAGACCACACTTTACACATAAGCACGGGGGAAAAGTAGAATTAAAAAGGTATTTCTGATTCCTCATATATTAGGGAATGAATAGGGGAACTTTATGGAGCCTATCTGTTGAAAGCTGAGGAGCTTCGGTTCATTCCCCTGCTGAGATTCTCTCAGGGAGAGAATGAAACAAGATTAGGGCTACAATGCAGTCCTAACTTGGGAGTTATGAGTTATGGGTTAAAGCGGCCCACCCGAGCGGGGGGCTGACAGCCCCGGCCTTCGTGCCTCTGCCTCCTGCCATCACTGGGTGTGGACCCCCAAGAATGGGCGTGACCAAGCTGACTGACGGCTGGAAGCCCTTGACCATGGCCCTGGCCAGCAACTGAGAGCTGGCTTTCTTGAAGGGCATCAGGGAGTCTGTCCCCACGTCCATATCCCAACCCCTCATAAAGGAGAGGGTCTTGGGGAAGATGCTGTGGTGCTGACCACATCGTGGAAGAAACCCCAAGGGGAAAATTGCCCCTGAGAACCTGTCAGAGGCTGGTTCTCTGGCAGAGCTGCAGCCCAGGGTCACCCTGAGAGGGCTGTCCAGGGACCCTGGAGCGGGGACGTGATTTCGGGTGGTCCTGGGACGACAGAGCCTCCACTCAGGTGCCTGGCAGAAGCACTTTCATCCCCGTCATGGCGAATCCTCCCAGACGGGTTCTCAAGAGCAAAACACAACACGGTAAAAAGCAATTAAAAACATAAGGAAATAAACCGCCATGGATGAGAGCCAACAGAAACAGATTCACAAAGTCCTCACGTTTTTGGAATTACCAAAGCTCAGATTATAAGACAATAATGCTCAGTATATGTTTTTTTATGAAGACATTGTTTGAATGTAATGTCCGGGTTAACGGTGGCTCTGAAACCACCAAGGGAGGGTTATGGCCTGGAAGTAGGTTAGAAGAAGAAACCATGGGGGAGGCAGCAAAGAGGATCAAAAAGATGTTAAAATGTGCAAGAAAGTTGAGAAAGCATTCAGAGAAGAGTGAGGAGGGCTTACCCCCATTTAAGCAGAGGTCCCACAGGAAAAGAGAGAAGAGGGCAGAAGAAACCTTCTGAAGAGACAGAGACCAGATCTGTCACCAAACTGGATTTCAGGAAGCCCAGCAAAACCCAGACAAGAGTAAGAAGAAGAAATCTACACTGGACACATCAGCGTAAGAGTGAGCACAGCAGATGGCAAGAGGAAAATCTTGCAAGAAGCCTGAGGCACAGAAAGACAAACTGCTTTTCAACAGGAGCCTGAAGACAGTGGTTCATACTAAGAGAGATACCTTTAGTTTTTTTGTTTTTTTTTTTAACAGGTGGAATTAAAATGCATAAGAGGGGTTTTTTTTTGGGGGGGGTAATGTCAGAACCCAAAGGGCATAAATACTTTCTGGAAGGAGAGGAAAGATAATTAACTTTAGACTTTGCTACGTGAAGCAGACCTGGTAATTCAGTACTGAGCCCTCCGGAAGGCTAGAAGCAGTGTGTAACTTTCAAACTTAATAAAGAGAGAAAGGAGTAAGTGCAAAATATTGGCTGAGTCCAAAAGCGGCAGAAAGGAGAGAATTTCGGTCCTATGCCTGCCTCCACTGCAGGGAGGCTGAGAAGTCGAGGAGCAGGACGGGCACAGCTGGCTCAGGACAATCTCAAGGGAATGGATGGGGGGCAGGGCCAGCCCGCCAGACTCCTCCTGCAGCACCGTGCTCCCCAACATAATTAGATAAGCTGTGGGAGGAAGTGACAGCTAACCCCTACCCCATCCAAACTCCAGCAGGTTTTTGTTTTTGATGGAACCTGATGAGCTGGTTCTCAAATTTAACGGCATGTACAGAGGACCAAGGACAGCAAAAACCCCTTGAGGAAGAACAAGATGGAAAGACTTATTTTCCTGGATATGATGATCTACCATAAAACAGTAGTCGTTAAGATTGACAAAAAGACAGAATAGAAAAGAAAGGCCACAGGCACAGTCGAAGGCCTGAGGTGATGCTGCAGAGCCGTGGGGCCAGTGAATGGTGCCTGCGCACATGAAGAACCTTCTGGGGAAGGTGAAATCTGACTCCAATTCACAGCACACACCGAAACTCTATCTAAAGCTTTTGGAGATGATACAGAAGAGTGCACGGCTGTCCGCGAAGTTGGGAAGATTTCTTATTAAGCAAGACGCAAAAATAACCAGCCACAAAGACAGATACATTTGACATTAAGACGGCCACAGAACGAAGGGAAGCTGCCGAGGGAGACACATTGAGCCCACAAAAGGCTTGCGTCCAGAATATTTGAAGAAGTCACACACATCAATTAAACATTAGAATTTGTGGTAAAGCGTGGGGGAGGGAAGACTCGAACAGGCACTTTGCAGACAGGAGCCGATGAGAGCATACAAGCCAGGAGACAATGAAGGGACACGGGTTACGGGATAGGGGCTCAGGAAGAACCCCACCAGGCCAGAGGAAACTCAGCGAGACATAGACTCTCTCAAAGAAACAGAAGCTGACAGACTTGATGGGGAGGACACATTACAAGAAATGTTGAGGTCTTTAGGCAAAAAAGAATACCAGACCGAAGCTTGGGTCTACATGAGGCAATGAAGAGCACCAGAAATGGAAAATACTTTGTTTCTCATGGGGTTTTTTTGTTTGGTTGGTTTTTGGGGTTTTTTTTTTTGTTGTTGTTCTGAAAGAGGACTGAGTGTCTAAAGCAAACATGGGAGGAGCCTTATAGCCTTTAGAGCTCGGGCAGAAGTGAGATGTAGGACCATAGCAGGGGTGGGGAAGGACTGGGAAGACGTGTGAACGGTCCTCACACAACATCGTTTGATGACGTACTCTGGTGAAAGACAAATAATGTAAACCGTACAACAACACTGAAAAAAATTTTTAGAGGTATAAATAAATCAACAGTGGAAATAAAATGGAATCATGAAAACATTCTCCATGAATGCAAGAAAAGGGAGAAAAGGGGAAGAAAAAGAAAAGTTTGGAACAAATAGTCATGAGCTGGTAGATATTAATCCCGAGCGGCAGTAAGTTGCACGAAATGTGAACGGTGTAGACAGACCAGTTACAGAGAGGCTGTCAGAATGGATAAGAGGCAAAAGCCAGCCAGATGCTGCCTGCAAACATCCAGCCAGGGGTGGGGTGGGGAGGGGGCGTGCCCTCTGGGGACTTCTGGGGCAACTGACCCCCCGGGGGGCTGATCACGTGGATATTTCCCTTGGATTGCCTGTTAAAGCTCCATTTTATACATTCTTCAGCACGCGCATTTGCAGTAAATACCTAAGTTAACCGGCAATCACGTGTCTGTCAAGGGCGGAAAGGAGACTTGCCCCTCTGCCATCTGCTCCCTGCAGATCCGCACTGAGTGAGGATGGACCTGACTCTGGGGAACCAAGTGTGCCCCGCGTCCACCGCAGCCTCGGGACCCGTCCTGAGTCATGCGAGATCTGTTAGCCGTGGCGAACGGCGACGCTCTAGGCTGGCACGTAGACACCTGTCACGGGAATGGGATCCCTGCGGGTCTCCTGGCCCCTGGCCCCCCACAGCAGCATCAACTGCCCCCTCCAGCCAGAGGGTGTTGGAAACGCAGGCTCCCTCGGCACCCCACACACACGCACGTAATCGGAACGAAATCCCCAGGCGCTCCGCAAGCACATTCAAGTTTGAGGAGCAGCAATCTAGCCCATTGGGGTGCTCGCCCACACCCGAAACTCACCTGTGGTGTTGCTGGTTCCTGCCACCGCGAGCCTGCCGGGTAGAAGCAGACGCTCAGTATCTCGGATGTGAGATGAGAAGCTTCCTCAAACTGGCACTGAGATTCGACACTTGGCATCACACAGACTACTTACCTCCCTTGGTGTCCTGGAACCAGTCCCAAGCCCCTCCTCTGCACCTTCCCAGATTCTGGCTGGAGGTGCACATGACGCCCTAGGGCGGATGGTGAATGAACAATACTGGGACACTCGCTAGCTTGCGGCCCCAGAACCCACACAGGGGGAGTGTGAACGCGAGCTTGCAGGCTAAGGAAGTGCTGACCTCACTTGGAAGGAGAATTAACTCAGCGAGAAGGGGGGCATCAGGTGCGGAAGCGTCGAGAAGGGTCTTGGTGACCAGACTCCTCCTTCTTGGCGCCAATGCAATCACTAGCACCTTTGGCAATCCTGAAAATGGCTTATCTCATGGCAGAGACTCACAACTCTCGCTTTCCCCTTCCCTGTGCGTTGCGTTCGTCCCCTGACGCCCCGGACACCAACAGTCCAGTCTGGCCAGGGGTCTGGTCACCAGCGGTTTGAGGGGGGCGTTGTGCCTTCCGTGTGGTGACCTCATCCTTCCTTTGGCTCAGGCACAGGCATGCGGTGGAAGAATATCGGCAGCGTGAGGGGGGAGTTTAACTTCTCCCAGGTGCTGCTGCTGCTGCGGCTGGACTCCGTTCTGTACGGCGTGGTGGCCCGGTGCGTGGAGGCCGTGCTCCCAGGGGAGTGCGGCGTACCCAAGCCTTGGTACTTCTTTGTCATGGTGAGTGCCGGCGCTAGTGTTCTATAGACCACGTCAGACCTCTTACAACCCCCCAACCCCAGTACCCTCACCCGTCTTGGTGGCATCCTGATGGAAATCTCAAACCCCAGGAAACCTAAGCCGGGTTCTCTAACCTGGATTCACCCCAAACCTATCAGCTTGTGGTCACCAAGGGAGCACGACGAATGAGTCTCAGTGTCTCTGACTCTTGCCCCTGGCTGGTGCCCCGTGCAGAGTCCCCACAAGCGTGTCTGCGATGTCCCGGTGTGTCCACTCCAGTGTCAGGCCCCGCAAGTCCACACAGGACACTCTTTCCCCTCTGGGCTGTCGGCGAGGCCCTGATGCTAAGACCTCTGGGGCGCTGGCAGGGCGCGGCCTTCATTGGCCACCCCAGCAAGTTCTCAGAGTTGCTGTCTCCTTCATAGTGGAGTCATCTGCGGATGCAATTCTCCCGCAGCCCCACCAGGGGCCCTGTGCCACAGTCTTCGAAGGGGGTGACCCCGTCTGAGGTGCATAGGCACGCACTTGGGGCTCCACATGGCTTCCGGCTGGCCCCCTTCCCGGAGGTCCACCCCAGCATTTCTCCAGGCTCAGCCAGGGAGGCTGTCTGCCGACATGACAGCTTCCCGAGCTCGCCAGGAGTGTGGGTGCGACGCGTCCCCTGTCGCTTGCTCCATCCTCAGGACCATGAGTTGTAGGCTAAAATGCAGCTTACTGGTAGTGAGTCCATGAGCAAGTTGCTTGACTTCTCTGGGCACCATTAAATGTTTGATAACAGGAAACAGGGTGGGGGGGCGTTGGGGGAGTGTGGAGAATTTAATTTACCAAACTATTCATCTCCCTGAAGATGACAGTCGATTCACCCAAACACGTTAATGTCAGTTGGCTTTCTGTCTAGCCATCCCACTAGTGTGGGCAGTCGACGCCCCTCACATGGTCAGTGCTGGATGTGGGGGATCCTGACAAAGCTCCGAGAAGCAAGTTCTTTCAGGAAGAGCCTACCAATTTGGTGAAAGGGATTGAAATCCAACATCTGTACAAGGTATCAGCTCACGAACCTCCTTCCAAGAATTTATGAAATAGCATGTAGAGGCTTCTGTTTTATTCTGACCGTGGTTACAAGGTGCATTCCCTGATAGAGGTTTCATTTCCTCCTGTAATGGTATCCTCAAAATAGGAACCTAACATAAAATGTTTCCTGTTATGCAGTGAAGTGGGGTTGGATGGAGGGTCTGGATGATGTCTCTTGAAACAATCCCCCCAACCCCACCATGCCAACACGGCTGCCTGGGGACACCCTGGAACTCAGCCTCTTGGCAGCTAATGTGGATCCTCCACGGTTTACACACCCGATCACTCAGTGCTCCGGCTTTCAGGGCTGGCTTCCAGATGGGGCATGTTTGTCTGTCACCAGCGTTCGCCAAGACTTTCCTGCACGCAGGGCCCCACGGGACTAGGCACTCCCAGGACAGGATGCCTGGATGTCAGCCCTGGGCCTGGCCCGGCCCACAGAGCATCATTTTCTCCTCCTTCGGCACCTTCTGTTCTTCAGATGTGATGAGCCCAAGGAGAGGCGGTGTCCTTGCCACACTCCGTGCCACCTTCCTCTGCCTGTGGGAGCCCAGGGGGCGGGGGTGTCACATCCTAGCCCAGAGGACTCACGATGGGGGGATGTCTCCAGCTCCCTCACGTGCTCTGGTCATGGTAGCAGCCAGGCACGCTTGCGGCTTCCACGGGCAGGGATCTTTCTGTTTGCAGAACAGGCTGTCTACACACACGTGGTTCTGGCACGATTTCTCAGCGGCTTGGCCATGTCATGCAGGGCAAGGTGTGGCTCTAGAAGCAGGAAGACTTCCTGCCAAGCTCTGAGCCCTGCATTCTCGAGCCCTGGCCTCTGTGGCCCCGGTGCCAGGCAGAACCCCCTGGAGCTGCACCCCAGTCAGACTCCTGGGCAGCCCAGGCAGCTAAACCCTGAAAGAAGGGCTCCCTGCCGCATTTCCACTTGGATATCCACCAATGGACTGAGTTTCATGGGGAACTTGTTGTGGGTCGTAGATGTTTCAGGAACGCCACATGCCCGTTAGGGAGTCGGTCACATGTTGAATCTTCCACAGGTGTATCACATGGGAAAGAATAAACACAGAGCAGTCAAAGATCTGACGATGAATCTATACCAGGGGCAGATCACCATCCTCCTGGGACACAATGGAGCCGGCAAAACCACCACGTGCTGCATGCTCACAGGTACCCGCGCGGGGCCAGCCCCCTCAAGGAACAGAGCCTTCAACACACCCGGAATGTGCTTCCATCTCCCCTCCTTAGAGCTCACTGACGTTTAATATGAAGCACTTGCTGTTTGCTTTTTTACCATCTGTAGAGTGTCTGGTTGTTCACATGACCCTGTGCCAGGAAGAGGGAATCTTTGGCTCTTCCAGTCTGTGGAAGGAGATCTCACACACCATTGAGGAGCTTGCACACAGCTCTGTGTGTCTCTTCCCACACGGAGTGCCACAGAGAGAGGGAGACTCTCAGACAGACTTCCCGCTGAGCATGGAGCCCGCCGTGGGGCTCAATCCCATGACCCTGAGATCACGACCAGAGCCAAAACCAAAAGCTGAACCCACTGAGCCCCCACAGGCGCCCCGAATCTACTTATGTTGATTTAGAGTAAGGAGATGTGTGGGAAAGAAGGCAAAGTCACATCACATGTTCGTACTTCAAAAACCTGTAAACCACCTACTTAGCTACTAGTGTGCGTTGAATTAATAAAGAGCATATATTCATAACAATGAAATCTTATTAGCCTTCCCAAATTATATAAATTTTGTGGATGTGGAGAAATGGCCTCAATAGACCATTTAGTGAAAAAGCCAGTTAAAAAACCAGAATTTATATTTTCCCGTTTTTGCTAAAAACTTTAACACGTGAGGGGTGCCTGGGTGGCTCAGTTGGTTAAGCGGCTGCCTTCGACTCAGGTTGTCATCCCAGGGTCCTGGGATCGAGCTCCGCATCAGGCTCCTTGTTCAACAGAGAGCCTGCTTCTCCCTCTGCCTGCTGCTCCCCCTGCTTGTGCTCTCTCTCTGATAAATAAATAAAATCTTAAAAAAAGAATACACAAAGGTACACCAAAACAATGTTACCAGTGGTCATATTTACACAATCGGACCTGCATCCTTTGTGTGCTTTGCTATATACTTTCTTCTTGTAACCTTGTTGCAAATAGACTTAAACAAAGAAGATGAGAATAAAGGACACTGATGGGCTGGCTGCGAAGCCCCACACATTCCCACAGGCACCTGGCACTGGGTGGAGTCATGTGTGCATTCCCAGGGCCTGACTGGGAATCAGAGGTGAATCAGTCATGGGTCTCAATTCAGAACAGTTAGATGCCCCAAATACTGTTCTGAAACCCATTTCCATAGTATCACTTACTGCTTATCGCAGTGCAATTTGTTTCCACGCGCCTGTGTGTGTTTTGTTCACCTAGTCAGACGGGCCCTCCTCAGAGGCAGGAAGGGCATCTCTTGTCTCTGCTCCCCCCACACCTCCTCATTCCCCGGATGTTACTGATCGTGGCAAGGAATGAGGCAGTCTGCATGCGAACAAACACAGGGCATCCGTAAGCCTCCAGCTGCGGTGTGCTCGGGCTGAAGATGACCTTAGCATATGTCTTGCACTTGCTCCTAGGTCTTATTCCTCCTTCAGGTGGATGGGCCTATGTCAACGGATATGAAATTTCACGCGATATGGCTGAGATCCGGAGGAGCCTGGGCTGGTGCCCCCAGCATGACATCTTGTTTGAAAACCTCACAGTAGCAGAGCATCTTTATTTCTATGCTCAGGTGTGTCTGTGGGTGGCACATTGTGTTTCCTCTGCATCCATTCTTGGAGAGGGTCAGGAAGCCCGCAGCTCCCTGACCCAACCTCAGAAGGCCTTGAAACCCCTTCTGGATGCTATTCCCTAAATATTCAGGAAGGGGGCCGGGGCATGGGTTACAGTTTGACTACAAAGGATACAAATCAGGACCAGTGAAAAGAAGAGACATGCAGGGTGAGGTCTGGGAGACTCCCAAACTGGAGGCTTCCGTGTCCTCCAGACGCCTCACTCTGTTGGGATATGGATGTGTACACAGTAGCTTATTTAACCTGCAAGTGTCCAGTTTTTCTTGGGGTTTCATCACATAGACCCGAATGGTTGAATCCTGGGCCTCGGGACTGAATTCAAGGTGCAGCTTCTGCATGTCTCCCTGCCCCCATCAGGTCCTGAGTCAACACATTAGCATAAACTCAGGTGTGGCCCCAGGGTACCAGGTGAATAACCAGGACACCCCATCACTCCAAGGATTTAGAGGCCCCTCCCAGTAACTGGGGGCAGAGGCTAGCCAGACTTTTCATTATGCAACACTTAAACAGACTTTTCATCCATTGAACTTCCCTGGGATAACTCCCACTCGGTCATGATGTGTGATCCTTTAATACTCTGTACTAAATGCAAAAGCCTTTTGTCTATCCCTTTCCATGAGGGTAATGAGTTTCTTGTATCAAGTTTATGTATATACTAGCAAAATGCTGGCTGGACAGGTGGGCTTCTACCGGGGATGCGGGGAGGGACGTCAGGGCACCAGGAGCAGCTCACAGAGAGAAGGGGATGACATCGAGGCCAGGCTCCTCGAGGACTGGACGGGCCAGCCTCCCAGCGGGAGCCCCTGCCGGACCTCTCCGTCCCCCGCTGTTGCAGCTGAAGGGCTTGTCCCGTCAGAAGTGCCCTGAAGAAGTCCAGCGGATGCTGCATGTCCTCGGTCTGGAGGACAAGCAGGACTCCCTGAGCCGGTTCCTGAGTGGGGGCATGAAGCACAAGCTCTCCATCGGCATCGCCCTCATAGCGGGCTCCAAGGTAGGCGGGCGGGAGGCCCCGGGGCAGGGCCCCGTGCACGCAGACGGCCGCTCGGGATGGCGGCACAGAGGCATCGGGCTCCAGGCCCCACGCGGCACGGGGTGGCTGCGGCCCCTGGACGCCTGCAGAGCAGCCTGGCCAGGGCGGGACAGCCACATCTTCACAAACTGGAGCCTCATGGGGCCTCCCGACAGCCAGCCCGGGCCCGCCACGTGGCTCTGCCACCACCTCCAGCAGCCACTGCTCTGCCTGCAGGTGCTGATGCTGGACGAGCCCACCTCGGGCATGGACGCCATCTCCAGGAGGGCCATCTGGGACCTCCTGCAGCAGCACAAGAGTGACCGCACCGTGCTGCTGACCACGCATTTCATGGACGAGGCTGACCTGCTGGGGGACCGCGTGGCCATCATGTCCAAGGGGGAGCTGCAGTGCTGCGGGTCCTCGCTGTTCCTCAAGCAGAAGTATGGTGAGCGGCGCGGGCAGGTGGGTGGGCGGGCGGCGGGGCAGTCCTGCCTCTCTTCCCCACGGCCCCGTCCCTGGCCTGGAGGGTCCCTGAGGCTAGGAGAGGGGCGGTGATAGGAGCAGGGAGCGAAGGAGCAGTTTGAGACCTGGAGTCGGGAGATCGAGGTCTGAGCTCCACTCTGCTGGTTTATAGCCTCCATCCACGCGGCCATTGACCTTTAGCCTTCTGCTTCCAATCTAGAAAATGGATACTCACTAACTGTGTTCCTCAAGGAGTGAGCAGTATGTGCAGAGTGCCCGTACGGGTGTGGGCTGTTTCCACGGTGGCTCCCCTTGTTCTCCCAGACCCCACACCCTCCTGTGTCTCCGCTGCTCATGGCGTGGGCGTGCCTCCATGGCCTCACTCTATCCTCTGCCCATGCACTGGGTGACCTTATTCCGGCCTCCTGTGCTGGAAAATGTGTGTCTCTCCAGCCCGGACCCCTTCCTGAACTCCACATGCGCGTACCTGGAGCCTACTCCGCACCGGCATGGACACTGACTGGCTCTGTGGGACTTGTCCAAACCCTAGGCAGACCGGGGGCCCCCTGCTCTCTGCCACCACACCCACTGCCCCCAGCACAGACAGCTCCTTTCTTCTAGGAGCTTGGCCCAAACCTTGGAGGCTCCCTGACCCCTCTGTCTCTCAGAGCCCAGATCCCATCGGTCTGCAAACTCTGGGGGCCTTCCCTTACCCCAACCTCCACACCCGGCTGGCGCCCTGGCCCCAGCCTCTGCCCACTTGTCCGAATGACTGTGTCACCCTTCTGCAGTGACCTCCCCTCCCATCGAGAGTAAAAGCCAGAGTCCAAGAATGGCCCACAGGGCCTTGCTTTGCCTGGTCCCATCACCCAGTGGCATTGCCCGATGCTCTTCCACTCCCCTGCTCTGCTCCTGCCACTCGGGCCGCTAGCTTATGCAGGATGCCATGCCCTCCCTGGCCAGCACCTGGCCACGGTTCTTAGGCCTCCTGACCCTGTTTAGAATCACACTCCTCGACCCTCCATATCCCCTCCCATGTTTATCTTTCTCCTCAGCACATGTTGCTGAAAATACATAGATTATCCCCATTTTTCTTATTGTCTGCCTCTCGCCCCTTTAATGAAAGCCTGTGAGAGCCCTCGAGAACACGGACCCTCAGAGGCGAATTCCTTGGGGTTTCCATCCTTCCCCACAGGGGCTCCCCCAGCTTCACTTCCCCACGGAGCTGCCCATTCTGAGTGGCAGAACAAGAGTAAGAGTGTTTCATGGTCTTCAAAATGTTGTTTCAGGTGCCGGATACTATATGACTTTAGTGAAGAAATGTCAGTGCAGCACAGAGATTTCTCATCTGGTTTATCAACACATACCAAATGCGGTTTTGCAGTCCAGCACTGGAGAAGAATTAACATGTATTCTTCCTAAAAGGAGCATGCACAGGTGCGGACCCCAGAGGATGCGAGTAGCTGTTTGCATGGACAGAGTTCACAGCTGGCTCTCTGCCCCTCTCCTCAGCAAGGGCTCTCTGTTCTGCTAGGGTCTGGACCCCTAGGCCTTTGGCATCTCCTGGAAAGACAGCACACTCCAGCCAGAGCACACTCGAAAACACGGGGCTGTGATCATGTCACCTCCCTCCTTTAAAACCCTCAGTGGCTCCCAGTAGCCTTCAGGTCAAAGTCAGAAGCCCTTTATTGGGTGGCGGAGCTGAGATGAAAGTTTGACCTGATTTTAATTATTTCAGACTTCAGAGTAGTTCCTGGCACTCCCCAACGCCTCCTCTCCCTTGTGTTGTTCTCAAGCATGAATCTGAGTTCATACTTCACTAGGAAGATGAGAGCCACCAAACAAGAAGTCCACTTCACTCCCATCACAAGTTTCTTTCTTCCTTCCATCTTGACAGCCAATGACGCAGCCTCTTTTTCCATCCTGACTTCTCAAAAACCCACCTGCTTGACTTGCCCCGCTCATCCACACCATCAGTTTCTCTCTCTACTGGGTCTCTTACTTCTGGGAGCACACTAACCCCCCACCACCCTCCCCCAGCCCCTAGCACCCACCCCTGTTCTTTTGTGATTGGCTTAGACCACTTAGTATAATGTCCTCAAGTTTCAGTGCTGTGGCATACTACAGAATTTCCTTCCTTTTTAAGGTTGCATAATATTCCATCTTACACACAGACACACAGACAGACACACACACAGACACACACACACACACACACACACACACCCCACATTGTGTTTATCCTTTCATCTGTCAGTGGACACTTGGAGTGCTGCCACACTAGCTACGGTGAATAATGCCACTATGAAGATGGTGTACAAGTATCCCTTCCAGACTCTGCTTTGGATTCTTTGAGGCATATTTACTCAGAAGTAGAAGTGCTGGATCATATGGCAATTTTATTTTTAAATTTTTGGAAGAACTGCCATGCTGTTTTCCACAGAAGCTGCACCATTTTACATTCCCTCCCATAGTACACAGGAATTCCAGTTTCTCCACAGCTCACAATACCTGCTGTTTTCTGCTTTTTTTTTCTTAGTAACCAACCTAAATGGGTGTGAGGTGGTACCTCACTGTCGTTTCATTTTGCATTTCCCTAATGATGAGTGATGTTGAGCATCTTTTCATGTGCCTATTGGCCATTCGTATATCTTCTTTGGAGCAATGTCTATTGCCCATTTTTTAAAAATACTTTTATTTATTAAGTCATCTCTACCCCCAACGAGGGGGGGCTCAAATTCAGCACCCTGAGATCAAGAGTTGCATTCTCCTCTGACTGAGCCAGCCAGGCGCCCCTCAAGTCCTGTGCCCATTTTTGAATCAAACTGTTTTCTCTTGTTCTGGAGTTGTAGGATTTCTCTGTATATTATAGATATTAATCCTTTATCAGATACAGGATTTGCAAAAATTGTCTCCCATTCAGTGGGTTGCCTTTTTAGTCCAATGATAGTGTTTCCTGATGCACAACATTTTTAAATTTAATGAAGTCCAACTTGTTTATTTTTTCTTTTGTTACTGTACCCTGGGTGTCACGTCCAAGAAATCATTGCCAGATCCCATGTTGTGAAGTTTTTGTGTGATTTTTGTGTGATTCTCTAGTTTTGTTCTTTTGCAAGATTGTTTTGGTTATTAAGGGTCCCTTAAGATTCCATATGAATTTTAGGATGGGTTTTTCTATTTCTGCAAAAAAAAAAAAAAAAGTCATTGCTCTTCTGGTAGGGCCTGTACTGACTCTGTGGAATGCTCTGGCTAGCATTGACATTTGAACAATATTACATCCTCCAGTCCCTGAACGTGGGATGTGTTTCCATGGATTTCTGTTGTCTTTACTTTCCTTCAGCAGTGTTTGAAAGTTTTCATTCTACAAGTCTTTCACTTCCTTGATTAAGTTAATCCCTAAGTATTTTATTGTTCGATGCAATGGTAAATGGGGTTGTTTTTGTAATTTCCTTTTCAGATTTGTTCATTGTACTTAGAAATGCAACTAATTTCTGTGTGTTGACTTTATATCCTGCTACTTTGCTGAATTCGCCTATTAGTTCTCACAGCTTCTTTGCAGCATCTTTAGAGTTTTCTACATAGAAGATCATGTCGTCTGCAAACAGATAATTTTACTTCTTCCTCTCCAATTTGGATGCCTTTTGCTTCTTTTTCTTGCCTAATGACTCTGACTACAACTTCCAGTGCCAGGCACCTCAGACAGATTTTGCTAGTGAGAATGCTGTGTCAGTGAGGAGGCAGATTCCAGGTCCTTCCCACGCTGCCGCCTTCCTGGCATCCCTGTCTCACATGTAGGCTCTCAGCCATGAGCCAGGCTCCTCAACACACAGCAGAAGAGTTAAATTAGCACTTGATTACAAAAAGATACCTAGAAAACCCACAAATATTTGGAAATTCAACACTACACTTCTGAACAGCTTATGGGTCAAAGAGGAATTAGAAATGGTTTTGAATTGGACGGTGATGAAAACACAACAGATCCGAAATGTTTAGGTGCTGCTAGAGCGGTGCCTGGAGGGAAACACACAGCTTTGAAACACTCAGGTTAGGAAAGAAGAAAGCCTTAAAACCAATGACCTGTGTTTCCAGCTGAGGGAGGGAGAAAAAGCAGAGAGAAAGTGAAGTATAGAGTACAGAGAAGAAAAGAATAAATTTGAAGAGAGCAAATGATGGAATAAGAAACAAAAAAAAATTGAGAAGACTAAAATAGCCAGACGTTGTTTATTACAAATATTAATAAAAGTGATAAGCCTCTGCCAAAGCCATTAAAGAAAAGAAGAAATACGAGAACCAGCATCAGGAATGAGTGGCCATTGAGCACTCCGAGCACAGAGTTATGACAAAGTCATGAGAAAATACCACAAAAAAATTGGACACAAATAAAATGGGCTGACTCCTTAAAAAGCATAGCCTACTCAAACTGACACAAAGTGAAAGAGAAGAATCCGAATAACCACGTATCTATTGATGAAATCGAATCTGCAATGACAAAGGTTACTGAAAATTCCAGGCCCTATCAGTAGTGGAGGAAATAAATCACCTCAATCTTTCAGAAAATAAAGAAGGGAGCAGCACCCCACTCACGGTAAGGGCAGCACACCTCTGACACCAACATCTGGAACGTGGACATAAACACAAAGTCTTTAGCAAAATAAGAGCCATCGAGTGGACTTACGGGGGTTCCAGGACGGCGGGGCTCCCAGGTCTGGGAGCCTCAGTGGGATTCCTGGAAGGCTGGGCCCAGCTGGAACCATTGATCAGAGCATCTACCAAGACCTCCAGGGCATGGCGGCTTCACAGTGGCTCAGGGCTCCTGCAGAAGCTGCCCAGAGCCTGTGGGCTTCCTCTGACCCAACCCCTATCACTTCAGTCCAAATGTCAATCAACAGGGGAACCAATAATCAAACAGTGGTATATTCCTTTTGTTAAAAACCCCTCCACAATGAACGAGAAGAAACTTAATACGTGCACCAGTATGGGTGAACCTCAGGAACGTGTTGCCCAGATGAAACTAGATACAAGGAGACCAGATGATTCCCCTTACATGAAGATAAAGAACAGGTACAAGGCACCTCTGGTGGTAGGAGTCCAGACACTGGTTGTCTGCAGGCAGGAGAAGGATCATCTGAAGGGGGCGGAAAGCACTTTGCAGGGTGGTGGAAAGGTCCACCTCTTGGCTGGGGTGAGAACAAGGCATTTCACTATAGGTAAACCTTGTTGCAAAAGACCAGCCATCGAGGAGCACGATTTCCGTAACAGGAGACTGAAGAGCAAGATACTGAGCACTGTGAAGACCTGACTGGTGAACACACAACACAGGCTGGGGCTCTGCCAGCTGTCCTTACATTTAGCCCCCTCGGTGCACGAGGTAGTGTCCATCACACCGATGAGGAGAGACTGGGAGAGATCAAAGAACTAGCCCAGAGTCACACGACCCCTAAGTGGCAGAGTCTGGACTCAAACCCATCCCCCCGACAGTGTGCCACCCACACTCTTACCCACCATGCCGTACATGGTGCAGTCTCTCCGGGATGTCCTGAGTGCCAACAGGTTTCTTAAAGGCACGCTGTTGGTCTGGACACCAGGCTGTTAAAGAGCAGAAGCCTGCACAGTAGGAGATTGCAGATTTCTCAATATCACACAAAAAGCCAGATTCATTCAGCTCAAAAAGAAAGGAAGGCATTGAGATTAGCAGGCGATTAAAAATTAGCTCCTGGGCCCCTGGGTGGCTCAGTTGGTTAAGCGACTGCCTTCAGCTCAGGTCATGATCCCAGATTCCTGGGATTGAGTCCCACATCGGGCTCCCTGCTTGCTTCTCCCTCTGACCCTCTTCCCTCTCGTGCTCTCCGTCTCTCATTCTCTCTTTCTCAAATAAATAAATAAAATCTTTTTAAAAAATTAGCTCCTTTCCTCATTTAGCATAACAGTAGGGGGAACAAAAAAGAGCACTCACTGTCTTTGGAGAAAGCCGCTGAGTTTGCCAACCCCCCCCCCCCCCC